CATGATTTATTTGATGATATGGATGTGATATAGTTCATATAATTATCGAACTCGCGTTTAGTGTTTTTCGTAGTTCACTAGATGTTTTTGGATTGGATGAAAAACTCTACTGTTATTTTGTTCTAGTGGAATTTTGGCATGTGGCCTTAGTCTACAAGTATTTCACTTGTAGGCTAAATTTTTTAATCATTCGTGTTTATTTATTTTCCGCTGCGTATTTCAATTCTGATCTTTGTGTCAAAATCTGGATATTTACGTACCTAAAATTCTAACAAGTGGTATCAGAGCGGGTCACTTAATTTAATAAGTGTGATTCTGATTTTTTAGGTACGTATGGAGTTCACGGGGTTGCCGTTACCCGCATTTATTCCGAACCGGCCAAAGTCATCTAGCGAAAAGATGAAATATGATGAATTTGATGCATCGGGGGAATCCTCGGTTGGGTATAAACCTGAAACTGCCTCTGGAACTGATTTTAAGATAACCATGGACGAATCGAGGTCAAGAAAAATCAGTCCAACAGGTGTCAGACGAAATGTCGCCCGAAGTGTCATGACACCTGGCAGGTATGAAAATGAAAATTCTGAATTTTTTTGCTTTAACTCCTTGTTTTGTGATGCTTCAGGCAGGGATTTAGGTCCTCCGAGCAGCCTTCAATTTGTTAGGTTTGATGATCATGAAGAAGTGTACGTGGAACTTTATAAACGCTATATAGATGCCGTCTGGGATGCAGATAGGCTCGAGAAGGAGAACAATAAGCTAAAGGATGAGAATAAGAGGATGAAGTCAGAGGCTAAAAAGTTGGAAGAGGAGAATGATGCTTTGAAGTCTACCGTAACCCAATTGGAAGTGACCATCTCTGGCCATGACCAAAAGTTAGTGAAGGTAAGAGAGGAACTTGAATACTCCCGTCAGACCTTCCAACGACTTAACACCGGTAAGAGCCAATTGGATGTCCTAGCTGCTCTTGAACATAATCATAAGAAAGCAGGACTTGGTTTTAAGCCTACCATATTTGTGCCTTCATCAGAGGAAACAGGTGAGTCCTCAAAATCCACGCCTAAGTTTTTTAAGAATACTAAACAACGAAGGCGTCGGTATGTTTGCCATTATTGTCATGCACCTGGGCACATTAGACCTTATTGTTATAAATTGCATTCATTTGATAGGTCTTTTGTACCAGTGGTGCCTCTCGTGTCCCGTAATATGCCCATAAATCACGGAACTAGAACTAAGAATAAATCAAAGTTTGTTTGGGTACCAAAATCTGAGTTGAAATGCAATGTTATTTATACTCCTTTGAAGTCTAATATTGCAGGATCATGGTACTTTGATAGCGGGTGTTCGCGTCACATGACCGGCACTCGTAAGTTCTTGTCCAATATAGAACCTTATGAAGGAGGGCGTGTTACATACGGTGGAGGTGAACATGGAAAGATCATAGGACGGGGAACACTCAATGTTGATGGTCTCCCAAAGCTTCTTAACGTGTTGTTTGTTGATGGACTTACGGCTAACTTGATTAGCATAAGTCAACTTTGTGATGATAATCTCCACGTTAAGTTTGATCGTAATTGTTGTGAAGTTTTTGATGAGGCTAATTCGTGTATTTTGGCAGGTGTACGAACTACCCAAAACTGTTATCGGGTCAAAAATGCTGAAGATGACGTTCGGGACTTGATGGACCTTCCGCTATGTAGTGCTGCTCCAGGTGTCGTCCCTGATGTCGCCCCAGATGTCATGACACCTGACACAACACCAGACACAGCATCTGAAGCAACACGTATCTTTGACGAGCAAAATACCGTTTTTGAGGCTGAGACAAGATCTGATGATGATGTTCCTGATCAGAGAAAAGTAGTTCGGCAATCTAATCCTTTGTCGCGATCCGTTGGTGAGGCAACAAATGGTAGATTGTTTCATTTCATGGTAAGAAAGTTTTGTGGTGTTTTCAATAGTGTTAATGATAATCTTTTTGAGAGAACTCTTGTGAATAATATGGTGTCTTTGCATGATGTGAAATCAAAATTTTCTTGGTGTCGACTTTTATGGATAAATCAAATGATTGAGAATTATTGTCGACATAGTGATTTCTTAACCGTATATTGTGATAGCAAGAGTGCGATTGATACTTCAAAAAATCCGGTTCAACATTCTTGCACAAAACACATAGATATAAGATATCACTTTATTCGGGATTTAGTTGAGAAATACATTTTTTGCATTGAGTACATAGGGACCGAAAATCATTTAGCCGATATATTCACCAAGACATTAGATTATGAGGGGTTTTCTAAATTAAGGAAATCTCTCGATTTTTTCATTGTTTTAACTAGAATAGGAATCGTGTTGCAACTTCCACGATGCATCATCGTTGTAACACGAATTTTTGCATACATGCATTTTTTTTTTTCTTTTTCATTCATAATTGCATTCTTTGCATAAACGGTATATTTGTTGGAGGCATGAAGTTGTAGTGGTGCATTTTTTCACTTGATAAATT